TAAACCCTAAACCCGAAACCCCTGTAGCCCAAGGCCCTACGGCAACCCCTATACAAAAATGAGCCCTATGGAACCCTACTACTCTAATAACTACGGCCAAGTTGCTCCCCAAACTCCCAAACCTCAGAAGTGAACACAAGGCCTTAAACTGACTTCCCCAATGAGCCTGGGAAATGAAAGGCTAAACTTTCTGATTCCTACTGAGTTATAAGCCAAAAAGTTTGAAGGTTGGGTATTGGGAAACTAACTAAGTCTAACTAAGTAAATCATGCTGAGGACCCTCTACAGGTTGAGGACAATTCCTGCTTGAGAGGTTTTGAGACCAGCTTCTGACCCGACCCGATGCAGCTCGAAACCTTGCGGTTCTTGCAAAAAGCTTGCTACTCTTTATTGCGCTTCCTTTCCCCCCTAAACCCTAAACCCTAAACCCTAAACCCTAAACCCTAAACCCTAAACCCGAACCTCCAACAATCGCTTCGACGAAAGTTTACACTCGCTTCCAGCTCTGGCGCTGGCCGCGCTGGCCGCTGCCCGTGATGGGCTGTCCTCGACTGCGCTGAGGTAAGGTTAGCGTGGTCAGTTCCAGCACAGCGTTCGGATGGTTCCAAAGACCTTGCGAGTTGCTCTTTTGACTTCGAGCTGAGCATCCGCCTCCTGGATGAGGGGTGCCCAATTCTGTTGGGCGGGCGCAAGCGACTTCGAGTGCGTCATAAGCACCTTCAGTCCCGAGAGGCCCAGGCTCATCTGCACCACGGATCCTCCGACCGCGATTCCGCTCGCATCAGCGATCTGCTCCAATGGGCAAGACCCGTCGGCTGCTTACGCCTGATCAAAGGCCGCTAAGCTGATGTGTTCCTTCATCATCTTCTTGATGGCCTTGCAGGTCTTGCAGCCTTCGGAGGTGCCTGTGCCTTGAGGGTTTTAGGGTTTAGGGTTTAGGGCTTAGGGCTTTAGGGCTTTAGGGCTTAGGGCTTTAGGGGTTTAGGGTTTGGGGTCCAGGGTTTTCGTGCAAACTGAAGCAAACATCGGCCAGGCGTCGCCGGATCCGCTAAGAACTGGTCGAGATCTCCTCGAGGCGGACGGAGGTCCTACCCTCGGGCTTTTAGGGTTTAGGCTTTCTTTTTAGGGTTTAGGGTTTAGGGTTTAGGGTTTAGGGCTGAGCTTCAACCGGGGGTCTATAGGGCTTTGGAAAGTTTCATAGGGTTTGAACCTGGGTTCCATGGTGTTTTACAAGGTCTAGAGGGCTGTATGAGGTTTGAATGGGGTTTTATCGGAGTTCTTTGTGGCCTTATGGGGCCTTGAAGATTCTTAAAGGTTTGATATGGTTTTGCGCTGATTTTGTACGGGGTCTATTTTTCTGGGTTGGATGGAGGCATCGAGCCCGCTAGAACTGATTTAAATCATGTCATCGGACGTTCATGGTTGTTCCATGGACCACATTTCTCGTAATATAGGGGCCCTAATGAATAGAACAAGGTTTTGGAGCATATTAAGTATAGTATATTAATAATGGCAGAAATATGTTAACGAACTCTCGGCCCTAACCAACCCTGGGCCCTAAAGCCCTAAAACCCTCGAACCCTTTAACCCTAAAGCCCTAAGCCCAAAAACCCTAAACCCTAAAACCCTAAACCCTTAAACCGCTGAGCCCTAAACCCTGAACCCCTGAGCCTCTGAACCC